GAGCTGAACTGTGCTCTACAGAGTTTTCAACAGCTGATTTTTTGGAAGTAGATCACCAGATCCAAGGTGCTTCTGGTTGGATTTGAACCTGTAATGTTAGCAGCTGAGGATGTTAATCTTTTCCACCATACAGGGATACTCAACCCAGGCTTTAAAAAACAAGCTCCAAACTAACAGCTCCCAAGATTGTATTTCTAGCCCATGCTTTCCCTCCTGAACTCCAGTTATCAAACTGCCTCCTCAGCAGTTGAGAACAACAATTTACTAGGCTCCTAATTGAACACTCACCATTCTTCCATAAATATTTTCCTTTTCTAGTCTTTCCCATCTTGGTAAGTAACACACTCATCCTTGCAGTTGTTCAGGCCAAGAACTCTAAGGTCACCCTTAATCTTTGCTTCATAACCAACATTCAATTCATCAGCAAGTCCTGTTAGCTCTTCCTTCAAATATATCCATAATCTGGCCGCATCTCTCACCCCTTCCGCCATCACTATTTTGGTCTAAACTGCTGTATTGCTTATCTGGATTATTGTGGTAGTCTTCTATCTGCTCCACCTCATTCTTCCTTTGCCCTTGCATATATTCATAGTAGCTACAGTAATCCTCTTAATGTAAGATAGACTTTCTCACTCTTCTATTTAATGTTGGATTACCCAATAAGCAAGGTAAGCACAAGCTTACTTGTGTGTACTTACTAATCTATTGTGAACAATTTCACATTTTTTCTTTTACCACATTAAAGATTCTGCTTCTAGGTACAGCTGGCATCTGTCTCTCTCCCAACCCCACAGTACCTTCCTATAGAATCAAAATCTGTTTTCAAATTTACAGTCCTTGACAGGGATAGAGTACCCAGTAAGCAAGGTAAGCCTGGGGTTACCTTATGTATTAGAAACTTTTTCCCCCATGTCTACTCAAAACCCTCCACTAGCTTCACATCTCATGCCAAGTACAAGCCAAAATTTCTAGAATGATCTTCAGGACCCTACACAATCTGGCCTCTCCCCCCTTCTCAGTTATTTCTCTAACTTCACCATCTCCTACTTTCTCATTTTCAGCTAGTTCCTACTACATTGTCCTCCCTGCTGTGCCTGAGTACACTGATCAGGCTCAGGACTTTTTTCCGGCTGCCATCTCTGCCTGGTATGCTTGTACCACAGACTTCTGCATGGTTGCTCCTTCATGTCTTTCAGATGTTTTGCTCAAATACCCATCTTCTCCCATATCATCCCAATTCCTGAGCCTTCTTCACAGCTTTAGTTTTCTCCACTACTCTTATAAGTGATGCTGCACATTTGTTTCTTTGTTGCTTGTCTATCTACTAGAATGTAAGCAAAATTAAAGGTGAGGTATTTTGTCTAGCTTCTTCATTGTTGTATCTCATGCTTTTAGAACAGTGTCTGGTATGTGGTAGATACTCAATAAATACTTGTTTCTTCCATCTATCAATCAATCAGCAATGAGGAAACCTACATATAAGACTCCACAGACTTCCCTTTTTAAGAATGCTCATCATAGTAACTGTTGTTGTTATTGTTGTCAGGTGCTATGGAGTTGGTTCTAACTCATAGTGACCCTATGTACAATAGAATGAAACACTGTGTAGTTGTGCACCATCCTCACAATCCTTGTTATGCTTGAGCCCATCATTGCAACCACTGTGTCAATCTATCCCGTCAAGGGTCTCCCTCTTTGTGCTGACCCTCCACTCTACCAAGCATGATATCATTCTCCAGGGAATGATACCATCTGACAACAAGACCAAAGTAGGTGAGATGAAGTCTGGCCATTCTTGCTTCCAAGGAGCATTCTGGCTGCACTTCTCCCAGGACAGATTTGTTCGTTCTTCTGGAAGTCCATGTATTTTCAGTATTCTTTGCCAACACTATAACTCAAAAGCATCAACTCTTGTTTGATCTTCCTTATTCATTGCCCAGTTTTCACATGCTTATGAGGTGATTGAAAATACCATGGCTTGGGTTAGGAGCACCTTAGTTTTCAAAGGGATATCTTTGCTCTTCAACACTTTGAAGAGGCCTTTTGCAGCAGATTTGCCCAGTGCAATATGACTGATTTCTTGACTGCTGCTTCCTTGGGTGTTGACTGTGGATCCAAGTAAAATTAAATGTTTGAAAACTTCAGCGTTTTCTCCCTTTTTCATAATACTGCTTATTGGTTCTGTTGTGAGAATTTTCATTTCCTTTATGCTGATTTCTAATTCATAGTGAAGACTGTAGTCTTCAATCTTGATCAGTAAGTTCTTCAAGTCATCTTCCTCCAATCCTAACACCACTTTCTTCCTCATATAGCCCAGCTTCTCAGATTATTTACTCAGCCTACAGACTGAATAAGTATGATGAAAGGATACAACCCTGACACACTCTTCATCATTTTAAATCATGCAGTACCTCCTTATTCTGTTGGAATAAAAGTCTCCTGTTCTATGTACAGGTTCCTTATGAGCACAATTATGTGTCCTGGAATTCCCATTATTTGCAATATTATGCATTATTTGTTATGATACACACAGCTCAATGCCTTTGCATAGTCAATAAAACATAAGTAAACATCTTTCTGATACTCTTTGCATTCAGCCAAGATCCATCTGACATCAGCAATGATTCCTCTTGTCCCATGTCCTTTTCTGAACCCAGCCTCTATTTCTGGAAGTTCTCTGTAAATATACTGCTGAAACTGTTTTTGAATTATCTTTAGCAAAATTTTACTTGGGTGTGATATTAATGATATTGTTTGATAAATTCCTCATTCTGTTGGATCACCTTTCTTTGGGATGGGTACAAATATGGATCTCCTCCAGTCAATTGGCCAGGTAGCTGTCTTCCAAATTTCTTGGCATAGATGAGTAAGTACCTCCAGCATGGCATCCATTTGTTGAAACAGCTCAATGGTTATTCTGTGGGTTCTGGGAGCCTTGTTTTTCACCAATTCCTTCAGTGCAGCTTCTACTTCTTCCTTCAATACCATTTGTTCTTGATCATATGCCACCTCCTGAAATGGATGACCATTGACCAGTTCTTTTTGGTACAGTGTCTCTGTGTATTTCTTCCATCTTATTTCAATGTTTCCTGCATCATTCAATATTTTGCCCTTAGAATCTTTCAATATTGCAACTCGAGGCTTGAATTTTTTCTTCAGTTCTTTTAGCTTGAGAAATGCTGAGAATGTTCTTCTCTTTTGGTTTTCTAACTCCAGGTCTTTGCACATTTCATTATAATAATTGAATTTGTCTTCTCAACCTGCTTTTTGAAATCAGCTCTTTTATCCTATCATTTCTTCCATTCACTTTAGCTACCCTCCTGTCAAGAGCAAGTTTCACAATCTCTTCTAACATCATCATAACTAAGTCATCCATAGTCAGAATATTTTGAAAATCCTGGATTCTAACTCTACTGACTAATGAGTAAAGATTGAAAGATTTAATAATTTCATAGCCTCACTGTGCATTTCATTTCATATAATTTTTTTCATTATATAGAATTTGAATCTGTTTACTAAAAAATTAATAGACATTTGAATTATAAATTGAGCACTAGTTTAAATAATTGGAGAGATCATATCTCACCTTAAGTATTCATAATTACATGAAAAAAATTCCTACAGAAACAAACTTTTTAACATCATGAATTTTATGGAAGCTATCAAAGTAAAATATGAATTTTCATTTTCCTAAGGTGTATCTTTTCCTAAATCTTATATCTTTACAATTACATATATTAAAGTCCTATGATACAGAATAATATTGAAATAAAGAACTTTAAATTAGGTCTATTTCTTAAAAAAAAAGGAATTAGTTATATTCCCCTCTTCTATATTATTACATTTAAGAGAGTAGCTAAAAGTAATACCCAAATGAGCACACTAATAAAGGTCAGAGAGCTCCTGGGTGGGGAAACTGTTTAACATGCTCAGTTGCTAATTAAAAGTTTGGAAGTTTGACTCTACCCAGAAGCTCCTCGGAAGAAAAGGCTGACAATCTACTTGCAAAAAAAACACCCGCTGAAGACCATAGGGAGCCCAAACCTATTCTGACACATGTGGTTGTCATGAGTGAGAGTCAACTGGTTGTGGTGGTGGTGATGGGACAAAGGCACCACAACTTGTGGTGGTGGAATAAAGACTGGAGGACTTTGTAAATTCCTTTCTGTCCCAACTGCCAAATCATTCAGAGCCAAATTATAGTTGCCTAAATTCAGTGATATGTCAGCAAATCTGAATATTTAAATCAGGGGTTGAAGATTTTAATGTTTCTTGGGTTTAGCAAGATT